GTTCCAGCCCTAAGTAGAAAATATGTAATGCCAGAGGCTAATAAGTAAAGAAGAGATTTGGCTTGGTATTGAGCAGTGTAAGTTCAAACCATTGCTATCGTAATAGGGATCATTATGAACTAAAGGTCAGCATCACTGCAGGGACAAAACATAACCCAAAACTCCACCACAGCATTGTTCAGTTTTCAGAAAGGAAGCTACACACAAATGAGGAAGCCTGCTGAAAGTGAACCAAAAGATTCATAAAGCATGTGAAAACAGCATGGAGGCACTACACTGGAAACTGAAAACAAATCCAGAGTGTCAAAATGGAGCCTTAGAAGACCTAGAAATGTGGGGTGGCCAAAGAAAAAAAAAATCAAGAAAACTATCTGAAGCAAAAATACAGGGAACAAATTGTCGTGCTTAAGAGCACCAAATCACCAGAACCGGATGAATATTGGGTCCAGGGTTCTAATGGAAGAATAAAATAGCTGTAACTGTTGACATTATTTTCTTGTTTCATATTTTTTTATAAGGAATGTAATAGGAAAATGCAGTGATAGTTTTTAAATAGTGTATCTAGTCAGGTTTGTGGATCTGCAGGATTTCCCCCCCCAGGAAATCTGGGGAGGAATATACTGTAGAAGAGACAACAACATAGTTTTAGTAAAAGTGGGTATGCCTTACATCTCCTAGTATGCCTTGAAGGAAACATGAGCATATCGGTAACAGGGTATAGGCTATTTGGCATTCCACAATGATTTTAAGAAGGTCTTCCAGCAAAGAAGCCAAGTTCCTGTGGGGTAACAGTGAAGGCCTTCATGTGGATAAATAACCACTTATCTGGTTATTTCCTGTAAAAGTTGGAGTACAAAAGGGTCAGTTTTTCCAGCAAGGGAGATAACTGCTCCAGCAGGTCTACTCTGTCCAGCATGTACATAAATAAGCTGGAAAGGAAAATTAATAATGCATTTCTTGATGATACAAGCCTGTTCAAAGTGCTCTAAGATGAGGACAGGTTGCAAACAGCTTTAGAAAAACCTCACAGTAGTGACTGACAACAAAGTGATGGCAGATGAAATTGAGTGCTGATAAGTCTCAATCAAAGCATATGGAAGAAGTCATCCCAACTTTACGTGCATAGTAATGAGGTCTCCTTAGCCATTTTAAACACTCCTTTAACACTCATGAAATGATCTCTGAAAATATCACATCAATTTTCAGGACTGTTAGAAGGCCAAATGAAATGCTAGGAATTACTGAAAAAGCAGAAAATATCATGATGCTGTGGTATAAATCCCTGTTTACCCATATCCTGTATATTGTAGGCAGTATTTTGGATCCCCAATCTAAAAAAGATTATAACAAATTATATAAAAGATATACAAGGACAGAATAAATGGAGTAGGAGTGGGGTTTGTCTTGTGTAATTTCACATCTGCCAGGTAGCTGTCTGCATGTGAGCTTGTTGCCTAGGCTCCCAGTATAGTCAATGAAAATCTGCTTATTTCTCTTGTTGCAATTCAGAATGTGATTCATGTAATCCTACAGTAAAACCTTATGTTCAACTCCTGGTTTTGATCAGCTAGTGAATATAACGGGACCATAAAACAACTTGCTTAGATGTAAATACCTCATATCCACATTTAATCAAATGTATTTTGGTCTTTGTATTTTTCCTTCTTCCTTTTCATGGAAGAAGGAAAAAATATGATGGAGGGTTTGTAGAATCTGCAACAGCATAAAGGAAGTAAGTCCATCACAAATGGTTTATCACTGTCTCTCATGAGGTAAGAATTAGGGAAGGTCTCAAGTGATACGTTAAAAAAAAAAAAAAAAAGAAGAGGTGGCTCTTCAACCTATATATTGTGTTTACCACAGGGGTGTTGGATTATAAAATGCTATGTTAATTAAAAAAAAAAATCAAGTAGGTAATTTAATAGAACACGAGTTCATCGAGATCTTATTGACATAGAAACACAGCTTCTGGCTCCAGAATCTCTGATACCCAAATTGCTGAGCTGGAAGAGTACAGCAAGGAACAGGGAAGCTGATGCTTTTGCTTACTTTCTGCCTTAAGAAAGTAAGCCGTGTGGGTTACCATCAGAAACGGATAGGGTGAGATGAATTTTTCATCTGACTGATTATGGCCACTGTATGTTCTAGACTTAACATTTAGCTGATTAAGGTGTCTGTGGTATGTGTGGTCTAGAGTTCTTGATAATTTTCCAAGGCATTTCAAACTATTTTCTAACAAACAGGACTGTAAGGATCATTTAAAATCCAATCTACCACCTGCAGTATCACATACCAGTGAAATTGTGTCTTGCGTAAGGACAGTTATAATGAAGATAATTTGGCACTGTTTCTCTTATCGCTGTTCACACTGAGAAGTCATTTACACCCTGAGCAATTTAATTGGTTCAAATAGATCTCCTTGTGCTAGTGTTACACTACTCACCATGTATATTTGTTTTTAAATTTCCAACAGCTTAGTTCAATACATTTTTCTGATGTAAAATTGTGACATGTACAGTATTTTTTATGGAAAAGGAAAAAAAAAGAAAAAATGAATCAGTCTTATACTACACAATCTGCTTATTAAAAATATAAGTGTTTCTGTAAAACACTTGCATCGTACTCATGAAATTCACAATCCAGTAGAAATTCTGCTTCTGCAGATGGCAAGTACTGTAGAATATAAGGAAATTATTGCTGTTTATTAAACTTGTTTGAACACTTAAAAAAAAAAAAACTCGCATCAAATTTCACTTACTGTAAACAAAAAAACCTAGCTCTACACTAATTATGGTCTTCTACTTCACCTTAATTTAGGTATGATTGTGTGATTTACCTCATTCTTTATGTCAGTCTTCAAGTCAACATCGCAGATACAAATAACTGGTTTGAAATCAGAGAGATATTTAAATATATGTTTACAAACAAGAGGTTTATAAGCTTAGACCTGTGTGCTTTGCCTCAGCAATGACGATTTCAATCAAAGCTTCATCCTATTGACATACAAATAAATAGAAAATCAATGTGGCTTAATAAAGAAACTGCTTTAAAGTGCATTGTAGTGTGGGAACTGATATTTGCATCCATTAATCTGCAGTGGTTTTTATTTTTTATATATACATACATGATCTTTGATTTTCATTTGCATTGTTTATTATATCTTATAGTATTATAGATAAATATGTACACACGTATACTTGTATTTATATACAAGATGGGGACTGATAACACTAGCTGAGAGGTGTTCTCTCATCTTGAAAACCAAGCAACACTAGAGGAGCAGAGGTGACCATTCACATGTAAGCTAGAGAGTCATGACCGAGGATCTTGGCCACTGAAACTAATAGATAACAGGAAAAAGACAGTAAAATAATTGTTGACAATGTATATATGTATCTTCAGCCTTTGAGGCCTTTAACTTACTAGAAAAAAAAAATTTAATGCATGCTTTTTCTTCTCTGAACTCAATTGCTAACAGAAAAGATCAAGGTAAACACATGTATAACTGTGCAATAAAACCAAGATTGTGAGCTCTTTTATTTGTATTGCAGAGCTTGCTCTGCTCTACACTGCAAATCAGTTGTGTTTCAGTGGTATAAAACTAGTGAGATGGAAAAGTCAAGTGTTAAGTCATGAACTTGATGTATGCCTCTTCTCTCACACTGTGTCACTTGCATCACTTTCTGGTTTGCAAAATGCACATCACTTCTGATGGTGTGTTTTATCGCTTTATTGTTAAGAGTCATTCACTGTACATGATTCCCACTTAAATCAGTCTAACTCTTTATGTTCTGGGGTAATTTAATATAATCAAGAGAAGTCAAGTCTGGTTTTGAAAGACATTTGAGGAGCAAGTTTTCAACTATGTTTACCTGAAGAGCAGTTCATGGCATTCTAACATCTATGAATGTCTTCATCCTATTTACTCTTACACTGAGATCCTGGATGAGATTTTTCTGACCTTTTTTGCATCACATGTTGATGAAATGGTTATTTGATGATATAAAATGTGATGCAGACCACATGTGGTCTGTATTAAAAATGCTTAGAGAAAGGAGTCAGAAAGAATGACTTATATAGCAAGTAAATTACCATGCCTTTGTGTGCAGACATCATATGGCAATAAAAAGTGCTCCTGGAAATGACAGAATTTGTCTCTTAGAAGTGGTTCATTGTTACATTTTGACATATTTTGTCACATTAAAGATTCATAAATGTCTCCTAAGAAAGGATACATATGGAACAGTGAAAGATCTGCATAGAGATTCCTCTTTTAGGTAGAGTCATGGTGCCCTGAATTTATCTGAATTTACTCGGATGAATCATGGAAGCATCGCCATCAGGTCGTTGCTTTTAAAACCAAGAAATTGCAACTAGCAGTTTGTGTTTCTACATACATTACTGAAATTTTTAGCTAGACTGCTCTTATGCATAGTTTTAAAGGTTATCTTGCAAGATGCATTATTTCTTTTTTTCTGAAATGAGTCATGTAGGCCAGTTTGGAATTCATAGCAGAAAGTTTTTTTTATTTTTTTACATTGATCATAGCTTTAGTTAGGTCTATAAAAGTTTTATCATTGCTTCTCTCTCCATTTGCTGTATTTGAGAACAGTCTTCCTTAGTTTTCATGTGTTAAGCAGTGTTTATTGTGCCTGTCCATCCCGAAGAACACATGCTTCACACACATAAAGGATGAGGCAAGAGAGAAGCATGCTCTGCCGTGCACATCCCAGTAGGTGTGCTGGTTAGAGATTTGGCTTAACTGGCTGAAAATTGCTATGAATGTTCCAAGTTTATATCATTTTCTGAAATGCTGGGCCTTATCCTTCAGACCTAAAGTCCACATGAAGTATTATAAAAAGATTGTTAACTGCATTGTGACAACTACACTTCTTCCTTTCAGCTTGACATGGAGTACCTTTACATTACAAATCAGCTGGTAGCAGAGCCAGTACTTTTTGAAGTCAGTTCTTACCTTTATTTATATTTAATTCACACAGGTTTATCGAGCAGAAATAGTACCGCTCAAAGAAAAAGTGCATCATGTCAATGAGCTCGCTCACCGGTTCACTCCCTCTGATATTCAACTCTCTCAGTACAACCTCAGCTGTGTGGAAGACCTGAACACAAGGTGGAAAGTGCTGCAGGTACATATCCTATGACTTTTTTCTTTATGCTGCATTTAAGTATATTTTTTTTTCTGCTTGTTTTTCTCCCTGTGGAACAGCACTGAAAGAATACTAAGGAATGAAAGAGGAAGCAACCTTTCAGTAATTGTGTCCCTGTGAGAAAATAGGAGTCAAAGCTAATGGTGCATTTTCATATGCTTCCAAATAATTTATCAAGTAGAAATTGGGTAACCCAGATTTTCATACAGTCAAAATTCTCATACAATTAAAATACTTAATAGATTATTTACCTTTTAATGTTGTTATAAATACTGAAACATTTGCAAGTTCTTTGGATTTATTTCTTTTTGTCTACATGTATATTGCTTAAATTTAGATTACATTGTGTTACCTTGTGCTAAAGACTTCAAATGTGTATAGTTTTTCCAAAATGCACTGTATCTTAGCTTAGACTTCTAGGAACAGTGTACATGAGAAAGCATACATAAGCATGCATGCACTGGTAACTGGTGATGTATGTCCCACAGAAGAGGCGTAATGTTATGATTAAATGAAGGTACATGAAATTGAATTAACTTCATCGGGTGCTGGATTTGGCTCAGTAATTTTTTGCTACATCACTGCTTCACATTTTGAAATTGTGTCACTGTATTTACCTTAATATATTGTAAAAATGGAGGAGTATGGAGGTTAATAAAATGCTTTGCCTTCGCTGTAAAAAAAAAAAAAAACAAAAACATTATCAATGAACAATAATTAACCAATTCCCTCCTGTCCTATATACAGATAAAAAATCATGGTGCTGTCAACTCTAATAGTAAGAGTTTATTGCTTTTTTATTGCTTCTCCAAAAGAAATCTCTTGGCTCTGTGGCACCTCTGGTTTATCACCAGTTCATGAAAATATTAACAAGAGTTTTTAATTTTTTTTTTTTCCTAAATAAAGAGTTTGTAATAAAAATCCTAGTTTTAAGTAAAAGATCATTAGTCCAAGACCTTTGGTCATTAGTATCTACTTTTCCCTAGATCCTCAGGATAGAGTTCATGTAATATTATTAAAACAGATCAATAGAAATCTGGAACACAAAATGAGTATTCCCAAAATGTTTCTCCCATGTATTGAAGAAACCGTATCTGTTTAGTTTTTGGGTTGGTTTTTTTTTTTTTGTAAATGACAGCTGATTAAGTTAACAAATTTGCTATGTTTCATTGAGAAATACCTTATTTCACTAATAAAATAGTTAAGTAAGTTCCAATTTTTTGATGAAATATACTTCATTATTTCATCAGGAAATAATGGAAAGCAGTATGATTATTCAGATTGAAAGCATCTAGGATATGAAAAAGTAAAAAAAAAAAAATCTGAGAGAAAGCCTGAGATAAATGTTTTGTTCTTATCATTCATGAAAGCAGTAAACAGAATGCTGATTTGATAGTCTATTTATAAAGATACAGACGAAATCACATGTTCACACATATTTCAGGAACAATATGCTCTTTTTCCACAGAGTGTGGGATATGTTGTGAACAATTCACTTTTCATTGTAAATTATTGTCTCAATTTATCAAATCCAGAGTATTTGGAAAGCAAAGTGTTTCATCTTCTATGAAGATAGATAGTTTGAGATAACAAGTCAGAATGAGATGTTAGAACTGATAGAACAGATAGATAATTGCAATATTATTGTTTACTGTCTTTTTTCCTATTTACCTAAATGTCATCTTGAAGATATAGGAAGCAAGGTGAAAACACACCAGTAGGACTTTTTAAACATATCCTGAGGGGAAAAAGACATAAATAACTTTGAAGGTTTATCATGTACAAAAGGCCAGTATGTGACCTCTGGGAAGAAGAATAAATCTGTTACTATGATACAATTTTTCTACTTAAAAGGGAGCAGAGTCTGAGACACTTTGAGATGCAGAGCTTATTTTTGTTAGAGTAGAAGAGAATGCTTCAGTCCAAAGGGATGTACAGCAATCGTTAGATCCAGCTGTTCTACATGTGAATTCTGCTGGACATTGACACACCTGTGTGAGTGGCACTTTTTAGAGTATTATGTATTGTTCTGTGTTAGGGTCAGACTTACCTATGTATGACCAACACTCCAGTTAGGTGCAATGCTATTTATAGAAAACTGACATTTTGGCCGCACAATAAGAAAAGCAAAAATACAAATAATTTTTGTTTCATGCAGAACCATTCTTCTTCCAAAAATAGGTTCTTATTCTTTATTTCTCCCTTTTTTTAATTAATTGGCTTTCTTATACTAATGTCACATATCTCCTTAATATTTTAGTCCTGTCATCACTTTTTCTCTTAATTTCAGCATTCTATGTATTTTCATGTGTCTTTATGGTACCCATATTTTCTCTGTGGCTTCTATTAATTCATTTTTTCAGAAAGCATTTAATCTTTTTCTCTCATTTTTTTTCTGCCTTTCCACGTCTTATTTCCCTTCTATGTTTTGTGGTTTTTTTTCCTTTTTTTTTGTTGTTCTTCCTTTTTTTTTCCCCAGCTGTAATGCTTCTTTTTTCCACCTCCAGGGCTAGAGATCTCTCTTCCCTCCTACTGCCCCAGCCCCATCATATTCGTAAAGAGGAAAATATTTCTTAGCCACGTATCCCATTTCCTACAAAATATCACTGCAGGAAAACCATAAAACAGAGCCTTCTGTGCTATTGCTTCTGAGAAAGAAACCCATTTTGGGTCATGTGGAGAAAAGTCCATCAGAACATAAGGTTTATCAGATCTGAAATAATAGTGAATTCTAGTGTTATGAGTGAGTTGCAGTGTATTACGCAGAGAATGAAATTATGTCTTGCTTGTTGTTTTACTAACACAGGGACTTTTATAAGATCAGAGGAGGAAATGTATCATTTAAAGCCAAATCTTACAGAGTGATACTATTATATTCATTTGACAATGTATTGCAAATTTGTATTTGCATTCAGTCATTGGCAGTATTCAGTCATTGGCAGTATTGCACAGTTTGTACAGTGAGATTAGAGTAGTATCAAATATTGCAGCAGAATCTTCACAGAACTTAATTTATATTCTGCAATAATGTATGTTTGCCATTATTTACCTTTTTGTGTTCAATTTTGGTGAATATACGCTGGGATATTAGTGGAAGAAAAATGTATGGAAAGCACTCAACCAATTACAGACTCATCCAATCCTGGTTTTGAAGTGCTGTGTGGAGGTGCTTTTCATTAATGAAAGCTAATGCATGCAGCTCAGTCACTGAAAACTATATCATCATTTGCGGAGTTTAAGCAATGTGAAAATAATTAGCCTCGTACCTTTAAAGGAGTAGTTTTGAGGAAAATATGCTCTTTATTTTTCCATTTTTCTTAAACATGAAAGGAGAGTAAATCTCTCTAGGGAGCTGTTTGTTATGAATTTCACAAGGATCTCTCATGTTCAGATCCTGTGTGCTTCAAACAGTATATGTAATGAAATCATCCTAGGGGAAAACATGTCTGGCAAACTCTTGCTTACTTTTATTTGACGATTGAGGAACTATGGAGACCAGTTTGGCGGTAGTTACATTCACTTCACTTTGGTCAGAGATCTAGTTGGTGTAACACTGGTCAAAAGGCAAAGCCTCTGACGTGAAAGAATTTACAAGTATCCCATGGGGAACATAGCCTTCCGTTATGAAGAAAGATTTTGTTGGTTTAAATCAAATTCTATCTACTCTTATCTGGAATAGTACCTCTAATATGCTAAAAAAATATAGTAAGAACTGTGTTTCATCTAAAAAAATGGGATTTTAGAGATGTTGTTATGGTATTTATATACCAATATATATATATATATATATGTTTAAAATGCTGTAATGTAACTCACAAATATAATTTGTAACTCACAAATATAATTTGTGAGTGGGTCTCTGTCCATAATACTGAGCCTAGCCCATCTAGTTTGTAAAACTAACCAGGCTGGAGGAAACACAGAAGTATGAACTTGCAGCCCAGAATGCCAACCATATCCTGGGCTGCATCAAAAGGAGTCAAAGGAGGTGATTCTGCCCCTCTACTCTGCTCTCCTTATACCCCATCTGCATTACTGCATCCAGCTCTGCAGCCCCCAGGAAAAGAGGAATGTGGATCTGCTTGAGTGCAGAGGAGGAGCCATGGAGACGATCAGAGGACTGGAGCACCTCTCCTCCAGAAACAAGCTGAGAGAGTTGGGCTTATTCAGCTGGGAGAAGAGACTACGGGTATTTCAAGGAGACCTTAAAGCAGTCTTCCAGTACCTAAAGGGGGCCTACAAGAAATCTGGAGAGGGACTTTTTACAAGGGTGTGTAGAGATAGGATAAGGGGGAATGGCTTTTAACTGAAAGAGGGTAGATTTATATTAGATTTTAGGAAAATATTCTTTAGTATAAGGGTGGTGAGATACTGGAACAGGTTGCCCAAAGAAGTTGTGGATGCCCTATCCCTGCAAGCATTCAAGACCAGGTTGGGAGGGGAATTGATCAGCCTGGTCTAGTGGAAAGTGTCCCTGACCATGGCAGGAGGGTTGGAACTAGATGATCTTTAGTGTCCCTTCCAAACCAAATTATTCTATGGTTCCATTATTTCATTCATTTTAGTAGTCATTAATTTGTTTGCCTTTCCTCTTTTTTTAAACAATATTTTTGCTTACATCATCTGTAAATAGCTGAAAAAACAGGAGACAACTTTTGTAAAGATATGGAGCCAAACCTAGCTTATCTGTAATTACTAATTAAGGCATTACTAAAATCAGTTATTTTCAACCTTGAAATTCAAAATTATTTTAGTAGTTGCAGATTTTGTCTTCCCAGCAGAGAGGGATTTTGATCCTTTTTGGAAATTGAGTTTCCCCATCAGAATCTTTAGTTAAAATGTTGTTTTGTATAGTCCGTGAGAACTAGTACTTCTGCCAAAACCACAGTTGTCATGATTCTTTAATGGTCTCTTATTTGTTTAATGGGCTATGTCAGTTGGCTGCAGAAGTCATATACCCACATATTTTTCTTCATTTC